TTAGAATAAAAACAAGTGACAGCTGTTTTTTCCTTCTTTAATGGGAGGGCATGAATAAATTTGAGGACGACTGTATTTAATGAAGGGCTGCAAGGTGACTCTGTGGTTAGCACCGTCGCCTCACAGCTAGAAGGTCACTAGTTCGCATCCCGGTGAGGACACCCGGGGTCTTTACATGTTCTCCCTGTGTGGGTTTCCGGATTCTCTGGCTTCCTCCCACAATCCAAAAACATGTTGAGGTTAATTGGTGATTCCAAATTGTCCGTAGGTGTGAATATGAGTGTGCTTGATTATCTGTCTCTAAGTGTAGCCCTGCAATAGACTGGTGACCTGTCCAGGGTGTCCCCTGACTTCGCCCTGAGTCAGCTGGGATAGAATTAATGTGTTCTTTTACAGGCACTTTAAGTATGTAGGGGGGTTTACGCAGCTTTAAATTGTGCATTTTGGGTAAATTTCAAGGGTTTTATCAACATGTGAGTTAAGTGGTTGGTCAAAACAAGTTATAGCTTGTTGAAGGTCTCATATTTACCCACAGGCTCGTCTTATACCCGCGATTCCTTCTGTGTCGAGACAACTTTCTAATATAGGCATATTTTGACTCAGAAAACATTCATAGTATAAAAGCAGAATTTTGCATGGATTTATTTAATACACTGAAGTCATTGTAAAACTCAGCTGATTCTATGAGGGTGAGGCAGGAACGTTTTTAGATTTGGTAGATTTGTTTATGAAGTGACCCCAGTGTCTTTGCTTGTCACAGAGACAGGCCTTTTAAACCCCTAGTGACCAAAAATCTACTGATAAATGTGACTTTATTTTTTACCTTTAGCACTAACGTACAGTTCCTCTGTTAATCTGTCAGCTGCAGACAATTAGTCAATAAAGAATGATGCTCTGTTAAAGATTATTCTTTATCCCTCCATGATTCCTCTTTCTCATTTCACTATTTCTTCCCTTCCTCTGTCTGTGACTGTTGCTCTACTTAGTTTCTTCTGTTTTCTCGATTTCGCTTTGACGCTCATCTCCTTCCTCCCTTTCATCTTGTCACCCTTTCTTTCTCCTCCATCCCACTCCCCCAATGCCAAATCCCCTTAAAGCCATTTTAACGACACATGTGAAGCTGTCACAGCACCTCATTTCAACCTCCTCTCGCACAGAGATTTATTTTACAAATCTTTATTTTTAAGGGACAAAAACCATCCACTAACTCTTGGGAAAAGATACTGACACCTTCCAAACTTCAATATGTACTGTAAACATTTACTCAAGTTGATCAAAATTTCTTATTCACTGACTTAGTTAAAGTTGCAAACATTATTTGATTGGTTTTATTGACATAATAAAATCAAACTTAGTTGAATTAGAAAATCTAAATGCAGAGATTTTTTTTTTTCTTCAAATGATATAAACTTAAAAACTTGTGTTCATAATTATAATTGAAAATAAATAATAAATAATAAATGAGACACGTGTAGTTCTTCCTAAACATATGTTGTTGCATTCCCCCTGATCTCTGGAAGTGGCTGCATGATGCTGACCATCTGGTGATGGACAAACACCGCCCCCCTCTGGCTGCTCTTCACAATGACAACCACAGGACTGAACACAGACACCAAAACTGCACCAACATGACGTTGCCTTCATGTTTGTGCACCATTTATATATTAATTTTGACTGACTTGTATTGGAGCTCAGACTGCCTTCACAGAGTGCATATTAAAGTCATCCATTGGTTTGCGGAGTACTGTTTTGAAGCCTTGAGTCGAACTTGGCATCTTAATTTTTTGAAACTGGACCTGAGATCTTCTTGAGAACTCCATTTTCTATACACCGCTTAATCCCCACGAGGGTCAGGGGGGGAGGCTGGAGCCTATCCCAGCCGACTTAGGGCGAAGGCAGGGGACACCCTGGACAGGTCAACAGTCTATCACAGGGCTACACTTAGAGACAGACAACCAAGCACACTCACATTCACACCTACGGACAATTTGGAATCACCAATTAACCTCAACATGTTTTTGGACCTTGTGGGAGGAAGCCGGAGAACCCGGAGAGAACCTACGCTGTACGGGGAGAACATGCAAACTCCACGCAGAAAGATTCCGGTGCCCCCACCGGGACGCGAACGGGCAACCTTCTTGCTGCGAGGCAACAGTGCTAACCAACTGCGCCACCCTGCAGCCCCTCTTGAGAACTCAAGAACAGTAAATGTGTCTGTATGGTAGCAACATATGAACGCATGTTGTCAATCACAAAGCAGCCCTGCCCTAAAAAAAAAAAAAAACAATTTTGTCACACATTTTGATTAAATGGGACTATCATTCCTAAAATGAACATAATGCTGTATTATAGCAAACTTCAGACTGTATTTGGAAGAATTTCAGTAACTTTTTTCTCTGTCTAAAATGTGATGAGATCTTAAACAAGAGAGCGTCTGCTGTAGCTCACTGACCTGAGGAGACTCTGAGACTCTTAATCTCAGCCACACTGTGTTGTTTTCAGTTGTGACCTATTTGCCTCCACGAGCCTGTAATTTAGACTAGCGGTTTTAAGCTACTTGGCTTGTGTGGGTACATACCAAAATAAACCAACACTCAAATCAATAGAGGAATTATAATTTCATACTGCGCATGGGTTTAATGTTAATGACTCCCAGAGCCAGTGTAGACAGATTAATTATAAGATGCAAGCCCCTCTCCGTTCATCAAGTTAACCCCCCAAAAAACTCTGTATGTCTCTGTATCAAATTCTTAACTGATAATCAGCAACACTATCACTCAAATGTTGGCCAATCAAAACCCTAGATTACTTACAATCCTGCAAAAGCAACTCTGCTTTGTTAGCAAAAGCACAAGCGCAATTGACCTCTAGAAGTCTTGCTAACATGAGCCAATTAAACATCACAGAAATATTTGTCATTGTGCCCATAATTAGCTAAACTTCCACAATGCTCTCTGCTTGCAAACATGAACAGTCTGTAGGTCAAGAGACCCCCTCCTCTGGTCCCTAAAATAAAAAAAACAGGTTCCTACAGCTAATCCATCACTAATTTTCTGACATGTCCTTCATCTTCTGCCTTAAGATTATGCATTTTTAAATGGTTGAATTATTAATAGCAATTAATTGATTAGTCGTTTATCAACATCCCGAGTGTCAATCACTTTTTTCAAGTTTTTTTTTTACATGACAATATTCTCTAACATGTCTCAGAGCAGATATGAAAACAGGTGAAGTAACAATTAACTATGCAGATGACTATGTTATTATCAGCTTACTTAAGGAGGGTTAAACCAGTCATAGCCCAATTAGTGATGACTTTGTACAGTGGTGTGAGGAGTCCTACCTCCAACTGAACATATCTAAAACAAAAGATATGATTATTGATTTTAGAAAACAACAAGACAGGCACAGAGTCACCTTAATTAAAGATGACAAATAAAGTGCAATCATATAAATACCTTGGGACTATAATTGACAAAAAATTGAGTTTTGATGAAAACTGCAAGTTTGTCTGCAAAAAAGGCCATCAGCACCTTCATTGCATCAGAAAACCTTCATGAGTTTATTTTTAAAAATAATTCTGTTGAACCACAGTTCAAAAGCAATGTCTGATTTTCATTGGTTAATTTTCATTGAATTTTTATTTATTATTACTTTTGTCAGACTCAAGTTATTTCTTTTTTTTTCAATTCAATTCAATTTTATTTGTATAGCGCATATTTACAACAAGTCATCTCATAGCGCTTAACAAAGGCAGAGACAGAAACACCCAACAATCCAAAACATGTGGATTCCCTATAAACTTCAGTAGTCCGCAAGCAGTCTGCAACAGTGGGAAGGAACCGAAAACCCCCATGGGGGGAAAAAAACCTCCGACAGAACCAGGCTCAGGGAGGGACGGCCATCTGCCTCGACCGGTTGGGTGGATGTAGGATGAATTATAAAATTTAGTTTACAGTTAAACAAGTTATTAGAAGTGACCATTGTGGGTTTTTCTTTCATTAACCGAGGGGTACCAACAATTTTGTCCACGTGTGTATTAGGTCTTTATTCTAATTGCAACATAAACCCTGATGCAACATCCTTCCCCTTCTCATTTTTGAGTCTTCTCTTGGAAACAAATGAGGCAAACATGCAATTCCACAACTTTTTTAATAAATAAAAAATATATTTTACTTTCAGTTTAAGTTAGCACAGAGTCCGAAAAGCACATTTAAGTCCAGGGCTGTCTGGTCCTGATTGCCTTCAACCTAACAACAATCAAAACCAGCTTTCTGGACGGTGGTGAATCTGTCGGACCAAAACTGGACCGTCAAAACTCCAACTAATTTTGTTAACCATCCTGTTGGTCTTTGGCTGGACATTTTTGAAAACCATCTGACTTTTGTGAAAGTGACAAAATGTTGACTTTTAAACCTCACAGAGTCATTGAGATGTGATCCTGGAGTGTCAGGTGTTGTCGGTGAACACCTGTCCCAGAATAGAGAGTCGAGCGCTGAACGGCTGAACAGGGCAGGACAGCAGCGGAGGCGTCTTCTTTTCTCCTGGCTTCAGTGCAATGCTGTCTGACTGGCTGGGAGGAGAGTCTTCAGCTTGCTTGGGAGGCGGTTTTGATTGACTGCTGGGCTGTGATAGGCTGAGCAGGATGTCTCGGAGCTCCTGGCGGTCCTGGGCGTGGCGGCTGCAGCAGTAAAGTGCTGCTGGGTCCAGAGGATGAGCTTCCGTATTGAAGATGAACCCCCCTGCCCCTAAAACACACTGCCCCCCATCACCACCTTCCTCCCAGGAACTGTCACCTTCCGTCCCTCCACCATGCAGGAAGTGGGTGGGGTCAAAGAGCAGGTAGAGGTACTTTATGGTTTCGGCAAGGAAAAATGACTCCATCCTGTTGTCCAGCTGGTGATCTCGCAGGTCTTTAACCTGCAGGATGATATCTGAATTAAACACTCTCACTCAATAAAACCTTATTTATACAGCAGCACCAAGTGCTTTACAGATAATAGACAGTTCAAATTTAAAAAGTAAAACAATATGAGGCCAAAAGAGGCAAGAAATATAAATAAGAGGTGTGATCAAAAAACTCAGAGACTATGGCTGTAAAAAGCGAAAACCATATTCAATTTAAATCTGGCCACTATCCTCGTCAAAGTGGCCTTCTTGTGCAGTCATGAACGGCTCTAAGAACACCAGAAACATACCCTGGAAGTTCTGTTAAGTAAACACGTCTGCCTAACCCATCCATCAAACAAGCAACCCTTCAACATGAATTTTATTTTTATTATATAAGTGAAAGAAGTCCCAGGTAGTCAAATTTGAGCAAATTTTGCTCCCATAACATCTTACCTTTCAGCTAAGTGGAAAGAAAACATCCAAAATACACTATAAATCTATTATCTATACACCGCTTGATTCTCACTAGGGTCGCGAGGTGCTGGAGCCTAATCTGGCTGACTCAGGCTGACGGCAGGGGACACTCGGGACAGATCGCCAGTCTATCGCAGGGCTACACTTAAAGACAGACAACCAAGCACACTCACATTCACACCTACGGACAATTTCGAATCACCAGTTAACCTCAACATGTTTTTGGACTGTGGGAGGAAGCCAGAGAACCCACGCTGCACGGGGAGAACATGCAAACTTTATGCAGAAAGATCCTGGGTGTTCTTACTGGGATGCGGCCCGCAGACCTTCTTGCTGCGAGGCAACGGTGCTAACCACCTAACTACCTTGCAGCCCCCAAAATACACAAACAGGTGTTAGTTTACCACTTTGTCTAGAGCAAATGTATGCAAATATATGCATATTTAATGATGTAATGCTCCATTTGCGATTTCCCATAATATTTCAGAAAACTTGTAAGACAAAATAATATCATCCTAATATAAGTAATGTCGTCCCCTGGGGGAGTTGGGTGATGATAACTTCTGGTCAAAATAGTGTCAAATTGAATGAAATTTGCTAAAACACGTCTTTAAAGGCAGAGTTTGCTCGCATTCTCGGAGTCAGAAATCTCCACTTTACGAGCACCAACATATACCAAACTCTCCAGTTTTATTCCCATGTCTATTCTGCACAGTTTTACAAAGGAATGTGTACACATATCAATTACAGTCAGAATTTTTACAACATCAAAATATGGCTGTTGACAGTATTTATTCATGGGGCGATAAAAAGAGTCCATAATTTTCTTTTGTTTAAACCTTCAACTTGAAAATGTCAAGAGAATGAAACAAGAATAGAAGTTCAGATTTCTATTCTAAAAATTAACATAAATTAGGGGATTTTAAGATATATGAGACCTCATTTGCATATTTAAACTTTTTTTTTTTTTTTAACCTGTAATATAAAAAAATCCTTGTAGTACTGGAAGTAATGAACTGCTTTATTGTGATATCTGCTATTTAAAAGTGTTGCCATGTTTAACTGCAGTGTCTCCTTTTAAAAAGATTGATTGTAATCAGCAACGTTGCTGAGCTTTTTACTGTGCAGGTGTTAGTGTTTCACTGTGCAACTTTCTGGTTTACTTAAAATGTAGCAGGAGTATTTGGTGAGCTTTAAATATTAATGAAAATTGGATATTTTACTGCAAGACTCTACAGACAGCCTAATTATCAGATTTTTGATCATCTGAATAATCTGCCTCAGCAGCTGATTTTAGCTGACCTGCATCAACAGCTTTAAATTTGAATTTGATCTTAGTCATGTTTTGGTGTTTTACACATACAGACCGTAGTGTGCTCCTGTAACCAGCAGATATTCAAACTTACGCTAGCGTATCCACAGGGCGTCTTAGCGATTCTCTCTATGGACTCCAGAGCATCGAGGCCCAGCTGGAGGTAGGTGTGATCACCTGTAGCCCTGAACAGGTACATGGCACTTTCTATTAACTCTGAAACACACACAGATGGGCAGGAAGGTAAGAAATTGTGTTTGGCAGCCAGTCTGCCAAGCATGGACCACAGCAGCCCTCAAGTCACTGAGCTGCTCTCTCAACACAGAGGTGCTCACACTAAACTCAAACTGAGAGCAGGCAAGATGCAGTAACTGCAGTCAAGAGTTTTTTTCCTTTTTCCCACACGAGGAAAAATTCCATTCAAAGACATGACATGACGTGTTGTTTACATCCTAATACCTTAACCACTCCCTCTCTGCTGTTCTCACTAACCAAGGACATCAAATTTTTGTGGCAATAATTTCAACCATGTAGGAAAACATCTAGGACTTTGGAAGCAATGAGCATGGCTGTCAGGCAGAAGCAGAGGTTTGAACACAACATTGTTTTGTTTTTGAACAGCATTCCTAAAATAGACATTTTTCTTATTTTAAGTCAGAATAAAAACAAAAATGATTCAGGTTTTTTGGGAGCTCTGACATATGCTGTTTTGTGTGATTCCTTTTTTTCCTGACTCTCCACAAGGTATGCAAAGTTAGGATAAAGAAGACACAACAGATACATTGATATACACAATTACACATTGATATAATACAACACGTTGAATTCCACCCAAATGACTGTTTAATAGGCTGGTCCATCCAATAACTGTATTGGTCTGACCTGGCCTCAGTGGGTATCCCTCTCTCTTATCCACCGTGTAGCCCTGAGGGATGCTGTAAAACTCCGGCAGACCTCCAAACTGTCTCCACACCGAGTAATAGTTCTGAAACGTTCTCACAGCACTGTCCAGGTTCCCCAGCAGAGACTAAAATACACAAAAGACATTAAAGATCACAATTTCAATACAAGTATAAGAAAACACTGTGAGTTTTTGTGTAATCAGGCAAAGTCTGCTACCTGCAGGCCAGGCCAGAATGCCTCCAGACTTTGGAAAACAGGCATGGACACAGTTCCTTTATGCATTTGCACCCACAGGTACCAGTCATCAAAGCGAGTGTAGTTCTGAATGGCTCGATCGTAGGCTGAGAAAAGGCACCACAGTTAGCAAATTGACTTCACATTACGGTTGAGTAGCCTCGGCATGCTACAGACCAACACGTGGATGAAACTCATCAGTGTAAGGATAACTTGTCAAGGGATAATACAGAGCAGCTTAGGGCTGCTATGAACGAGCCTAAAAATGCTATTGATAAGTCTAGGGATGCTACAGACTATTCTCGGCTTGTTATGGACTAGCCAACAATTGCAAGTGACAAGTGTAGGAATGCCAGTGATTAGTCCAACAGAACTAGCTGGGTGGGGTTTGGTTACTACATACCAGGTGCTTTTATTTGTTTGCTAGTTTTTTTTTTCATTTTCATGGTCATACAAATCAAATAATAACTGTAAACATAGGCCTCCATAAACATGGCCATTAAATAATGTAGTAAAAACAGGAAACTGCTATCCAGTGACAGGAGGATGGAGAGTGCAGTGAGCTTTACCCTGGAACATGCTGAGCAGCTCTTCGTCTTGCAGCATTATTGCTCCTTTCACCAGGTACTCAAAGTAAGAATCAACTCCTGCTCCAATCCCAGCATCCTGAGCCACCCACTTCTTAGACAGAATGTCAATGTGGTTCCCCACCTGGACAGAAAATAAATAAAGCCTTCTTTTATAAAACTAGCTCTTTATTTTATCGACTGATTCAGCATCGGCCAGAAAGGAGGTGATAAATACGATACTGGCAGTGGCAACTGTGAAGTTAACAAGATCTCTTTCTCATCACTCTTTGAAATCTGCAACTATCATTCACACGCTTACCTCAGCCTACTTGGCCTCGTACCTTTGTAACAATTTATTACATTATCCACTAGCTTTAGATTGTAAAATGACAATGTGCACCATACCATCACAATAAACAGTGTAGAACTAACTGGCATCCCTAGTAATGTGACAGACTAGCCTACAGATTCAAGTTACTGGCCTGAAGATGTTTTGTACTAGCTTAGGGATGCTGCAGCCCAATTTAAGGCTATAGCAGCAATGTTGGGATGCCACAGACTAACCTAGAGATGCCATGAACTAGCAAGGTCAGCTACAAATCATAGCCAAGCTCAGTGTGTGGGTGTGTCATCACGTAGAACGATAAAGAAGATATTCTGCTAGCCATGAGTGGATTAATAGGTTTTTCTCTGTTGTCTTATTTTTCACACACCCACATGCAAAACAAAACAATTAGACTTTCTTTAACTGTTTAGTTAATGTATTTGCATTCAATTTTATTGAAATGACTGAAATGTATTATATGGGTTGGATAGTTTTGATTTCCCAGAGCCAAAAGCTCAGACAGACAAGTTACCAGTCCAATGTCAGATCTGGTCTTCCACAGGGCTCTCAGAGCTCGGCGGGCTGCGTTCTCAAACGTCGAGTCTCCAGTTAATCGACTCAGCATGGCAAACTCCAGGATGAAGGTTCCCACGCCAGCGGTGCAGGTGACAGGCGTCTCGGTGGGACTGACACCATGCAGCAGGTTCACCGTACCGTACGGCATCCCGGTGGGAGTCTGAAACGCTGGAAAGGTTTAGCACATGTCAATAGGTTTTAAGTAATTCGTTACATATTTAGACTTTGCTCTCAGACTGTTTGTGTGTATGTTTTTACCAGGCAGTAGTTTCCTGGCAGCGTCCTCGGCCATCCGTAGCAGTGGTCCTGAACAAGGCCAACCAGGCTCCAGCTCCATCCCTGCCCTCCCTGCCAGCAGGTGAGCTGACAGCAGACCACCCACCACTACACACAAAAACAAACACACATATCATACTCAGTTTTGAACATAATGTTCCCATCAAAATCTCAAATATCCTCTCCCTCTGTACCTCTGATGTTGGTTTCAAACACGGACGCGTTGACATCAATGTCGAAGTCCACAGTGTCTTGGAGAAGTGATGCCACTCGATGAAACTCTGTATGATTTCCCAAGACCTTTAGAAATGTATTATATTTACATTTATTATGAAAAAAACATGGCTTCATTAGAATACTGCAATAACAAGTGACAGGAATTTAACTTTCTGTAATAATCAACATTTTTCACAAACTGTATAATAAAAATACTTTTTTCACATTTTAAAAAATCTCTTCCAGATCTTACCAGCAGAGTGTCGAGGGCATCAATCAGAGTGAGTGAGAAGCTACGGAAACAATGAAGAAGGAAATATTTTATTGTTGACAACTTTTTAATGAAACATTAAATGCAGAAAAACCAAGAATGACAGAAAGAGAAGCTACAGGTAGTAACAAGTTAGGCAAAATTACACGTAAAAAAAAAGAGTTTAACTCTGTGTAATAAGACAGTAATGTGGAACTGCAGTGGTCATCATGTTGCTTAAGAGTACAAGAGACACTGTTTAGGCAAACAAACTGAGCAGAGTTTTCCAGAATTATTCTAAATAAAAAAAATTAGAATGTACTGGTAAAAACGAAACTGTGTCAGAAAAAATGTATGATATCATTTCAAGACATCGTGAATGTAGCTAATAGTACGTCTGGAAAACTGTCAAAAAAATAATTTGCATGATAATGTCGTCTCACCTGCCCCAGGTGTCTTGTCCATCACAAGTCAGTGGGCGGAGCTCATCGTAGGGAAAGGCGTTGTCGAGGTAGCTGTTGTAGGCATGGTAGAACATGGATTTGATGCGCTGTCTGAAACATAAAACAGGTCACAATAAATTATATGAGGGAACTGAATTCAAAGCTTTTTAAGACCTGCAGATTAAGGCTGAAAATTAATTTGCAACTATTAAGAAATTCAATTCGTCGGACAAAACAAAACGTGGGAATGTCCCCTCTAGGTGTCAGCCTGTATGAGGGGATGATGTCATCTGATGTCACCTTGTGTTTGCCATCCATCTGAGGCAGTGAAGACAGTCAGAAGAAAATCTTTGCATGCTTCTGACAGCTCATTAAACAGTCAATCAATTAATATGTGCCCTGCTGGACCTCTGCCTGACCAACACCTATTTTAAATATAGTGAGAGTTGAGTTTCAACAGACAAAAGCACAACTGTACCATGGGCGCTCCAGCGTCACCCATGGAAGTAAAATTCAGAGCACTGAGCTGCTTTCAGGGAACAGCTCCTAGCTACTAACGTACAGGGGTTTTTCTAGAAAAAAATTATATGAGGGAGCACACTGTGACGAGGGGTGATGCGACCGAGGGGGGGGGAGTGCAGAAGGAGGGGAGGTTGCCCTGGTCCCCCCGTGCGAAGCCTTTGAAAAATTGAAACTTAAATGGGACATTCTCAGGCTATCTGAGAGAGAAATTTTAGCTCATGAAACTTCAGAAATCAAGATATTATCAACTGTTGAACAATTGTTGTGTGGTTAGAATTGTAATACAACTGTCCTCTGTGAATGCAAACATGACAAATACTAGTATTGGCAAAACCTCTATTTACTAGTACTTGGAATGTTCTTACATGCTCGTACTGCACCATGATCCACATACATGTACTTTAACCAGTGTAACAGTGTTAGGGAGCAAGACCCTATCATGTACACTAACCTGAGTATAACACAATGTCATGGAGTAAGACCTTATCATACATGTACACGAACTACTCAGTACAAAACAGTGTGAGGGAGTAAGACCCTATCATGTACACTAACCACTGCCAGTCTAACACAGTGTGAGGGAGTAAGACCCTATCATACATGGTCATTCAGTCTTGAGAAATCTTGCTGTGTAGGTCAGCTGACCTTGCATGTAACCTATATGAAATCTCACGAAAAAATGTATATTTTGATCATTTTTTTGCACCATCTAACAGTGTATCTACCGCAATTGGAATATGCTGGAGTCATTATAACATTTTGATGATCAGACACATTGTCTTGTGCTGAGATGTTTTCATGTCCGAGAAGATCGTTTTCGTGAAGATTGCATGTTGTACGGCAGCATGTAAGAACATGGCCCAAGTGTTAGGGTTCAGTCAGCATTTTGGTAAGAGGGCGCAAGCCGGGAGTATGAGGGCACAGCGCCCCTGTAACATTATTTAGACAAACCTATGATATACATAAGTAGCACACACCTGGTTCAAAATTCAACCCCAAAAAATCAAAGCCTTCAAAGCACAGATCAACAGCAGCGTCAAATCCACAAGGGAGGATTTCAGGGAAAATAATCACACTTTTTTGGACTTTGTTGTGCACATTGAGACCTCAAGATTGAAGTTTACTGCAAACCTACAAACGGAATGGCTGTCTCTAAACAGAGGTATGTTCGACTTATCAGGTACTTATAATGCAGTCTTAAGATCCCTTCCCAAGCAATGTCGCTATCCTTCCATGTGTTTTGAGCATGAGAATAAATACCTGCCATCCCCAACAGTTACTTAGAACTGAAGAAGCCTCATATGAAGGAAAATGTCTTTAAGAACCATAAAGGAAGTCAAGTTGCCCTCCACTGAAGCACTTAGGATGACTTTAAATGACTGAGAATCTCACAGATGAGGGTTTCTAGGTACAAATAATGAAATCAGCCTCATACAACCACTCAGTCTATTATGGAATTAGAGCCATATATACATTCCATTATATTCTAAAATTTCACCTGACGCTTGAATTTTGTTTCCCTTTGCATGGATTAAAACATTTCCACCATAAACGGATGCAGAAAAGGAGCAAGTTAGATTTACATGAATGCTGATTATGAACGGTTTGTTCTCCCACAGTAAACAAATGAAACCTATGCCCATGGCTTCAGGACATTGTTGTGGACATTTTGTTTTACTGTTTTTTTCAAGGCTGAGCAAAAGATGAATCAGTAAGTAAGCAGTAACAGTTGTAGCCCTATTGCAGACATATTTCTTCTCCCACCACTTAAAATTTCACCTTGGATATTAAATTAAACCAAACATTATATAACATATTTCCTACATGCTAGTTTATTAATAAAGACGGTCATGTTTATAAAAAGTAGCATCACTTCTAGATGGAAAAAATAAAGATATATATATAAAATTATAGTGTGTCGTGTGTGTCAGTGTGTGGTACCTGACAGCAGCCATCTCCTGCTCACTGAACTGATGAGTCGCCGCATCATTCAGCAGCCACAACAGCGCCGCGCACACAGGAGCGCGCATGAAGACGAGACGGAGACCCGGGGACAGACAGACAGGAGGACACGGGGACAGAGGAGCAAAAGAAGGGAGGAAAACACTGGAGAACAGGTGGGCTTCTACTGCTGTTGTTGTGAAGCGGTCAGGAAGCAGGAAGTGAACGATGTGCGCATGCGTTTGCCGGTACGCTGACGAGTGGGTTTTTTTTTTCAACAAACTTTATTGACAACAAATTAACGTTACAACACAAATGGCAACAAAAGGACAGAATAATTGTGTAAAGTAATTAAATCAAATACAAATGTAAAAAGTGAATTTTGCAATTGTTGGCCACAATTTTCTCCAAACAGATGTACAACATTGTAATGTAATGGGAGAAGATAAAATTGGTAGAGGGTAAATGTGTGTTAATATATCACCTGGAGCAGCTTTGAAATTTGAGCAAGGTCATATTTTTCATGTCACAGCTGAGTTAAATGAAACACAAGCTGTTGCTTACAGCAAGCCTGAAATGGGTTGTACAATAACGTGAAGAGATTTCTACAAACATGACGAGTCTGAGTCCGGACTACTTTTTCACTGGTAGTGTTGGAATATTTAATTTTGTGAAAGCACTGATAGCTTATAATTGACACTAGCATCATTTAATGTGTATCAATGCGCGAGTTGTGCTGATCTTAAGAAGGGGAAAGACGAATACATTCAGTCCAGAGAGACCAAACTCAGGGAGGTTAAGCCAGGTCAGCTAGTAGGTATGCAGCTACACACACACACACACACACACACACACACACACACACACACCTATCAGTATTTTGCACCCACAGACATACCATCCCCCTAAAAGCTAGTATCAGTTAAGACAAAGGAAAAGTACTGACATCCAGAGAGCACGGGATGTTAGTGGGGAGGTTTTCCTTTACAGGGCACGGATGCTGTGGATTGGATGGATCAGGTGCCAAGAGATAAGGACATATCTGTGCACCAACAAAGGGAGAGCTAAATTTAAACCACGGCTCCTCCCCAACCAGATAGCCATTCACGTTTCACTATTTAAATTCAATGTTTGTGTTTCGTAGCTAATCACCTTCCACGATACTGAATAAGATGTTTATGCTTACATAAGGCTGCATCCATTGCTGGGAAAGTTGGTTACACACTAACAGCTTGCTGACTGTGATTTTCTGAATCAGTAATGGATCCCTGATCAAGTAAATTATTATACTGCAGAATAAATAAGACTAAATGAGAGAAGAAGTTTGTCTCTAAAGAACGAACATGCCTCAACAGTAGCACTCCTACATGTCATGGGCAGAAACACCTCACTTACTTACCATTTGCTTATTGTGGACACCAGTTTTTTAATGATGTTCCCCAAATGGCTGGCTGTGAAGGCTAGCTGCTGATTGGTGGCTGCAGTGCTCAAACAGATGTGTGACTGAAATTACTTTGAAAAGGATTAAATAGTGTTTTCTAGTAGGAATAGTCCAAGATGACCAAGGACCCGTCTTACTCCACCAGCACCCTTCATAACACACAGAAGCTAAACAGCTTGTTTTATGCACCAGGCAGGCACAGGCTAACAGAGCCACAGAAGTTTTCAAAGTATTCCTTTTCACCAATGCAACTAGAGCTAACTGCTCCTAGGGGGTAAGTCACAGAGAGCTGAAATTTGGGTAGTATGTAGAATACGCCTTGAAGGTAAAATGTTATCAAAATCATCTGCAAAGGTGAAAGAGCGTGGTGGCCGTCTGATTTTTGATCCTTTGCCATGAAAGAGGAAGTACTGTGTAACTACCCTGTACATGCTCCAATCTGCCTCAAACTTTGCATATTTGATCAGACTGATGTCCTGATTACATCCATAGGCCAAAATCCATTCACAGTCATAGCGCCACCTATTAGTAACAGGCGGTTTGAAGCATTACACTTACATGTGCAATTGCTCCAAACAACAAATATCATTCTTAAAATTGGTCAGCTAAGTCTTCCCACGTTGACGATGCTACAGTGTGAAGCTTTTATGTTTTCAAGCAACAGTGTTGCCATGGCGACGCATAGTTGCTATGACATGGAAAGGATTTTTTTTGACAGCTTTGGAATGCTCATAAACTCATTAAAATTGGCATACAAGTCACTATCGGCTCAATGACAGACAATGTGTGCCTGTTTTACAAAACGGCTCAATAGCGCTCTCTGTAGCAATTTATCCATTAGCCCCCGCAGGCCATTTAACCGATGTATAGAAAATTTGGTAGGCATATGTAACACATCAGGACACACAAAAAAGCCTCTTGGACCCATACCATAAACTCAACAGGAAGT